CATTTGGAAATGACCACATCGAAATGACGACTAAAACCTCTTGAATTTTTAACATCATCATTTGTATAACATTTGTAAAGGTCAAGGCCATTGGAGATTGTAACTTTTATTTTCATTTTTTAGTTAAAACGGATAAAAAATTATCGTAGATATTTACGATAATTCGAAAAAACATGTTTCCGACAAAAGTTACTTTTCTTCGACGTAGCGTCATTATAGGGGATTCCCTTTGAAGAAAACGAAGGTTACCCAATTTTCGTCGAATGCAGCGCCATCTATCAGAAATAGGAAAAAAAAGTTCAGACAAAAGTTACGTGTTTTTGGATGTAGAATCCGAATCTGTAATAAAAAGTAGGGGTTCCTATTTAAGATTTCAAAGTTACCCCGCGCCCCATCCCCAGGGGGGGCGGGAGGTGGATAATTTTTGTGGAATTGAATTGCGTCCTCAAAACTATTAAGGGTTTATTTGGGACATTTTTGTCATACAATGCTTATTTTTCGAGATATTTAGCAGTCTCAAGTTAAAAAAAATACCCTGTATATATATATATATATATATATATATATATATATATATATATATATATATATATAAAAGATATATAATATATGAATAAAAAAAATATATATATACAGGGTATCCTAAAACCAACGGAATTGCTCTTAATATTAGATTCCTTACAATATTTTAAGAAGAAAATTCTAATACAAAAATGTCGAGGCTATAATAGCTTTTAAACGGGGAGTGATTACATTTAACGAATGGCAGGGCTGAGATTTCGCGCACTCAAGTACGGAAAAATGACAAATGCAAAAAGTGCTCCTATTAATGGGGCGCTCTTTTTATGATATTATTGTCATATAAATTTGCAATATGTTTTCGCTTCTCTATGTATTGCATATTAATACATTTTTTATATTTTAATACATGTTTATATAATATATATGTAACCCTTATAGAAATATTATAATTCACATTCATATACTAAGAATCATTGATTAATTACTTATTTTCAGTATTAAAAGTACAGTATTTAGTAATATTCTGTGATTCAAATATAGCTTTTAGTACTTAAGTATTTTAATATTTAATGTTACAAATCCTACTTTATGATTGATATTTAAATATTGATATGTAATACATCATCCAGTGATAAAATACTTACGCAGAACATTGTCAATATTTAAATACTAATATATAATACTTTGCTAAGTGATGAAATACTTACGCAAAGTACTGTTAAGATTTAAAGTATTAACCCAAACAGCATACAATATTAATAAGTTATTAGATAAATATTTATAAATATTTATTTTGAGTTACTTTTTTGAAATATTATATATATATATATATATATATATATATATATATATATATATATATATATATATATATATATATAT